CTGTATGGGAGAGCATAATTGCCAATGATATATCAGATAAGGGGTTAATTTCCAATATATATAGAGTGCTCATACAACTCAACAAAAGGAAGACAAAGAAGCCAATTAACCTGTTAACTGGGGAATTCCCTTTTCACTGTATGCAAGTTTGACGTATTTATACGTCCCGCTCGATTAACAGGTTAAAAAATGGGCAGAGGAACTAAATAGACACCTCTCCAAACAGGACATACAAATGGCCAAGAGACATATGAAGAAATGCTCAACATCACTAATAATCAGAGAGATGCAAATTAAAACAACGAGATATCACCTCACACCTGTCCTCCTATTTTTCAAGGAAAAATAATATTGTTAAAAAAAGTCCAGTTCTTAAAATATTTGTTCTTAGGATCCTTTACATGCTCTTAAATTAAAATTTATTAAGGATCCCTAGGAATTTTGTTTATGTAGGTTATGTTTATTGATGTTTACTATATTAAAAACTAAAACTAAGAAATTAAAAAATATTTATTTGTGGATTTAGAAACAGTAATGATGAAGCCATTTCATGTTAACATAAGTAACATTTTTATGCATTGTTTCATAATTTTGAAAATCTCTTTAATAATTGGCTTAATAAGAATCAGATTCTCATTTGTTTCTGCATTCAATTGGATGAGCTGACATACGTCATATAACCATTGGAAAAACTCACTGTACACTGATGAGAGAAGGAGACTATAAAAGCCAAATAAAGTGTCAGTTTTATTATGAAAATAGTTGTGACCTTGCAGACCCACTTAAAGAATTTCAGGAACCCTCGTGGGTTTGGGGACCATTCTATTCTAAAGTAAAATGTAAGTTTGTTAAAAAATATAAAAGAGTATAATAAATGACTAAACTTTGTAAGATATTTTTATTTGCTTTGTTTTTTAATACGTATGTCTGAAATAAAGCTGAGAAATAAAGTTATAATGAGTTCACTCAAGTTTGATGAACTTATTTCTTTAGTTTACTACTGATTAATACACTCCTTATGACATGAAAGGTTATTCTTTTTGTGTAATCTCCTCTTTATGCATATTATTTGCTTTATTTTGTCTTTAAGTCAATAAAAAAGCAAAGAACTAAGTTTACTCATTTATAAATTAACCAAGATTTACTATCTTGTTACATTCTATGCTTATTTTAAAATATTTTTATTATTGTTTAAAAATTAGGTAACTAAGTACTGTTTCCCAGATCCCCATGATCCTATTTTAATCATGTATCCAATTCTCTTTTGACAACTCTTGATTTTGCCTAAATTTAGAAAAACAAAACAAAACAAACACACACACACACACAAAACAAACAAACAAAACTTCAGAATATCTTTTACACATGGAATTATCTTTGAAATTTCCTAGAGGGCCTCTAAGAAATCACAAAGATTTGTTCTTTCCTCTTATAAAAAGAGATGTTAGAAATAATTAAGTTTGTTTGACGTGCTATCATTTTAAGTTTCATGGGAGAGAAGTTCCTGTCATATCTGTGAGAGCTGCTCAGTGTGCCCTAAGGTTAGATTTGTATAGGTAAAATGTTATTAAAATAACTACTTCAGAAATTGTATGCTTTATGGGAAGTGCCTGGTGACTTGACAATGCCCTTGCCGGCCATTGTGTTTTTACCCTCAGGGAAAACACTGATAAAATTTTTATGAAATAGTTGGATATAGTATCTCAATAGAGAATTTACTTATCTTCTATTCTGACATTATTGATTACAGCAACAAATGATGCACAGCCATTAAGAATCTGTCAAGTATGAAAAGATTCTGTTTTATGTACTCGGATGCTTGCATGTAGGCCCAGCTATAAGCTATTGTCAACAGTCTGTGTCTGTAACAAAACAGATTCAGAGCACTAGGGAGAAGGACTGTCATAGGTAATTTAAAATATTGACACTTCAAACAGTAGTCTTGGGTACAGGCTTCTGAGGTGACAGAGCTTAGATAACTTTCATACAACACCAGTGGACTGAGGTAGGAATCCCAGAACTCTTTGGAATGGAAGCAGATGGCTTCATGAAAGCAGACTGCCAACCCAAGATCTAGCAGAACAAGAATGAGATAGAGCTGAATAAATTGATAAGGAAAATTTTATTGTATTTATTTGTTTGGACTATTGTTGATTAGTTTTAGTATTCTATTGCTGTATATCCCTAAGTTTGCAAAACAAATTCAAGGTCTATATGGTTAATTAACACTCTTTTTGCTACATAATCAGGGCAAGCCTATGAGATGAGCCTTTTTCTTGTGATCAATAATTACCTTTGTGATTATTTTGATCATATGAGGTAAAGGAGACACTCTTGAGAAAAATTAAGAGACTCTTAAATAGGCAAAAAAATTACTTGGGTGTCTAGTCTAACTGTATCCTTCCTGGTTATCTGCACCATTCACTGTTTTTGAGCTACAGTTGGCCCTCTTTTATTGCGGTTAATCAGTTACAGACTCTGCCCCGATAAATGAATTTCCATGGTGTAGGATTCTTTATTTATACACAGTCGTCTCTCACCACTTCGCGCTTCGCCTTTCGTGGCTTCACTCTATCGCGAAGCGCGAAGTGGCGAGGGACAACTGTATTTTACAATTCTGCAGGTTGTAGAAAATGTATAGTAATGCATATAATTCTTTAGTTTTCAGAGCAAAAAAGCAGATTCTATTTGCCTGCAACTTGCAGTGTTTTATAAAAATAAAAACTCTGAAGAGTCTATGTGGAGCAGGGGGAGGAAGAAACAGGGAGAAATTTTGAGGGAAGCAACTGTGGCACAGTTATATTTCTTTGGTTAAGAAGAGGATAGAGGTCTATGGATCCCAAAAGCATCAGGGGTACCTTTTTAAAGAAAACCAATAGGCTTTACTACATTGGTCTGTTTACTCATAAGCAAATCCCTAGGATAAATGACATCTTTGTTAGCTATAAGCTTGTTGCCTCTTCAGAAGTATTAGGAAAGACAAACTTAGGTCTGACAAATAGGTATTGTCTCACAATTAAGTTCATTAGTGACCAAGATAAGTTATACATGACACATTCCCTGGGAATAACAAATTTAATATTTAAGTACTCAACTTCAGGATTGCTCTTGTGATACTCAGAACACCACAGGCAGTTTGATGATCATAAAAACAGACATGTTGCAAATTATTTCTTATACATCTACTATAATGCAGACTTCAGCTCTAGCCTTTGTGTTCTCAGGGGGTCTGTAGCTATTTGCTCTACCTAGGACTAAAGACTTCTAGGAGACTTGAGGAAAGACTTACTCAGCAAACTGCTCTAGGAGAATACCTATCTACACTTTAATAGCTGAACTCTCAGATGTCATTCAGATGGTAGTCTTGCACTCAGATTCTTTCTTTTCTTCTATGGTTTGGCAACTGAAGTGCTATTCTTAAACATTCTAAAACTAAAGTTGTGAATGAAGGCAGGCATTCTCTGTTCAGGCTACTGAATTCTGACATTTGTTCTCAGAGCCAATAGAGTTCACTGTAAAAAGAATCAGGTTATGAATTTACTCAGTTTTATAGCTAGTGAGTGCAAGCACCAAGAACAATCATATACATAAGATCTAGCAAAAAAGAAATCAAGCTCTTGAAAAATATGAATTTTTAGTAAAAAGCTGCTATTATGACAATATTTTTATAATTTTCAGTTTGGTTATTAATATAAGATTTAAAAAAACAACAACACGAAAAGAGATTATAGGCTGACAAAACATTTTGTGATCTGAAATGTTATTGTGCCAAAACATAAGGTTGGTTATTGTAGTAGAGAATATTTTGCTTTTATAACATTATTCAATGGAATACAATAATCATCATGAACCAACACATTTCATTAAGAAATATAAACTTACTGAGGTATTCAAATTGAAATTTTATAGGACTAAGCATATACCATATGCAAATATACTTAGCCGTATAAAATACTATTTACTTATATCTTCACTTGCATTTTATTTTATCATTATTATGTTTATGATTATTTGTCAAGAATGGCAAAGGAATGCTTAATCTTCCCTGTGGGGAACTAAGGGTTCTTTACCAGGTTTGAATTATGTGGTGAGGGTGGTCATCTTGAATTTAAATTTAAGTAGAAGGAAGGATCTTATAGTTTTTTTTTTTTTTTTTTTCAATTAAGGCTTTCCCTTTTTATTACCAAATTTCATTGACAATTAAAAATGCATAATCAAAGTTGACATGATTTTAAAAAGCAAAATATTATTTAAGCACTGAGCTTTTGGACTTATAGGAGACTTTGATTTTCTGACGTTTATTCTTTTGATGCATCACATAGACAATTGCTAATTGGGTGGTTATTCTGTAATAGTAATATTTTCAAAATTTCAGAATGGGTAGGTCTTTGAATATGTTTGTGTTTCCCTCCTCCTGTGGACTTCACCATTTTGGCATACTCATACCCGGAGGCTACACCACTGACTCGTTAATGAAGTTTAACATCAGTACCTATGGACAGAGCTCCCTTCGGTGAGATATCTAAGACCTGACATTCTGTGACTTTTCTGCTTGAGAACCCCATAAGAGCCTGAAAACACTCCGAAGGCCTCGCAGCAATTCTGTTTACCTCTGAACTGATATTGAAATACGAGAAATGTATGACATTGAAAAAGTATATACAGAATATGGTAATATTTGTTATAGTTTTAATTTAGGGGTAAATATTACATATAAGGAAGTCCTCATGTACTAAAGTTGAATGAGCAAAAAGCCAGAAATCTCCAGGGGGAGATCAAAACCATTACGTAAGTGGTGGGATTTTCCACGCTGCTCCTGAGGTAAGCCCTCTAATCTATATTGCATCCCTTTTAGAATGCCCAGAAATTTCTGAAGCCCCATAGATTTTCAGCTTTGTGGGGGTCTGGTTATATACCAGATATTTACCAGATCACAGTTAATCAACTGTATGCAAGGATATTACAGTGGATAAATTTCCAGGAGCCCCATTTTTTCATACCTTTTCCCCCATGGATACACCCCCTGATGTGATGATGACATCAGCACGACTGATACCCTCATTCAAGGCGTTGAGTAAGTCATCTGGGCTGGAAAAAAATAAAGACAAATACATTAATACACAAGGAAAACTTAGATATAGTGCCCACTAAAAGCTAAACCACATTATTCATTGAGTAGGCATTAACCTGAGTACAGCACTATATTCTGTATGAAGTAGGATTTAAAAGGGTCTCTGCTCAACAGGAGCATAACTCTTACTGCAGAGGAAGAAACGTGAGTATAAAAGTAGTGGCTACTGGTATTTTCACAGGTTATTTTTTCTTCTTAAATTCTAGGCAAACCAGGACAGTTGTTCACCCTAAGTGTTGGAGAGATCACGTAAGACTCTTTAGAGCAGTGGTTCTCAACCTTCCTAATGCGGTGACCCTTTAATGCAGTTCCTCATATTGTATGTGGGCGTACCTCCAGGACCCGCCTGGAGACAAACAGAGGAACGGTGTCTCGGTTCCTAAGACCACCGGAAATATGTGTTTTCCGATGGTCTTAGGAGACCCCCATGAAAGTGTTGTTCAACACCCAAAGGGGTGGCGACCCACAGGTTGAGAACCGCTGTTTTAGAGGGAATGTGACTTAAGTTAGATGTTGAGACATGGGCTGGGTTTTTATAGGAAAGAGGATCAGCCTGTGATGAAGACTGTGGTGTTCCTAGATTAGTGGGGGAAATAAACTGTCCAGAGTGAAGGACTTGACTTGAAATGACTGGGATAGATGGAATAAGACAAGATTTGGGAAGGCCCTCAAGCTCAAGAATTTGAACTTCATCTAATGGGAAAAGGGTATGAGGGGTTCACTAAAAATAAGAGGAGCCAGTAGGTGTATTTTTAAAAACTGCAGAGACATCAACTCTCACATAAGAATTTCTAATTTGGCCCTGGCTGGTTTGGCTCAGTGGTTAGAGTGTTGGCCCACAGACCAATGAGTTGCAGGTATGATTCTGGTCAAGGGCACTTTCCTTGGTTGCGGTTCACCCCCGGCCCTGGTTGGGTTGTGTGGCAGGCAACCAATCGATGTGTCTCTCTCACATCAATATTTCTCTCTCTTCCTCTTTCTCTTCTTCTCTCTCCCTCCCTCTCACTCTATCTGATGATAAATGAAAAAATATACTTAGGTGAGGATAAAAAAAATTATAATTTGCAGAAACAAACTAAAAGGGATTTAATACTAAATCCTTACTGTAATTTATGCTTTAAAGAATATGCTGAATGCTGCTTTCTATTCCATGTTTGGTGGATTCACAAAATCACTGAATGTCTAAGTTGGCACATTATTTGGGTCCTATCCTTTTCTGTCTCCCTTTGCTCCTCTCTTTGACTCTACCCTCTTGTATGTGTCTGGTATCTGAAATATAGTAAGAGATTATGGCTTAGAAAAGGGATAGGTACCAACATATGACAACAGTCAGAGGATCTATAACTTCATTTATATTGCATGTTATAATTCCATTTGTTCTAGGAGGCAAATGTAAATAAGCCAAAAAGAAGTGGCATATTAATGTCAAAGTGGAATTTCAAGTAAAACAACTAAAAAGGATAAAGAGAAGGAACAAATTGTGATAAAAAGTAAAATTTATAAAGATGATATAACAATATATGACTGTCTTACAAGACAGGGTCTCATTTTATCTAGGTTTCTTGATTACTCTTTCAATAAATGTAGGAACTCAATAAATGAACTGAATGAACCCTGGCCTCTATGCTATCTCTGTACAGTAGATTTGGGAATGAAAACTGTACAATTATTACAACTCTAATGATATTATGGGCAATAATATTGTCTGTGGATGGAAGAGAAGATATGATTTAATATAATCATAAATGGTACTTTCTTTGAAAGGCTGTCATGTATAATAGGGAGTCAATTTACTTGTTGTTGTGCCAGAGGGCAGAATTAGGACTAATGGATGGAAGAAACAGGGATAAAGACTAGCTCAGGGAAATGGAAAACATCCTTACCATAACAGCCATCCAATAATAAAATGTGCTGCCTCATGAGGCAAATAAGATCCTTCTCACTAAAAGCATCAAACAAAAACCGGATGGCTAGTGAGAAATTTTCTCTAACACCTCCAATAGTGAAAGATTTGACTAGCTAACATCAGATGTTCCTTTCAATTCTAACATGCTGTGATTCTGTGGAAATAATGACATTTATATAAATACAGTGATTATTTTCTTTTCACACATAGACCGGAAAATAGAGGAGAAACTCACTCGAGCATTGCAATATAATCATCATCTTGTAGATCATACTTTTCTCCCTCTCATTTTTTTTTTTTTTTTTGGTTAATCCTCATCTGAGGATATTTTTTTCCATTGAGTTTTAGAGAGAGTGGAAGGAAAAGAGGGAGAGAGAAAGAAAGAAACATCCATGTGAGAGAGACATATTGATTGGTTTCTTTCCACATGTGCTCTGACCAGAGCTGGGAATGGAACCTGCAACACAGGTATGAACCCGAGACCCTTCAGTGCGTGGATTGATACTCTAACCACTGAGCCATACCCGCCAGGGCCCTCTCACCTTTTGAACAACAAGAACAGTCGATTATTTGACTTGCATAACAACAACAACAACTTTTTTTTCTTCTTTGCAAAGATGACATTCACCTTCAACCTGGGAGATGGCTACCAATAATAATGGCAACAGCCTCCTTAGAGTTCTAACTTATTCAGATGTCAATGAAGCTTAAACTTAAAAAAAGGCAGATAAAACAGAAAGTAGAAGTATAACTCAAAAGAAATCTATTAGTGAATGAACCGCTTTCTCAAAAGTTTATGTATAAATCAGTTTCTGTGAAGGAAGACTACATGAATGATATCTTTTCAGTGGGCTTTTGGGACTCACTTTTAGTTCAGACCTTCTTGCTTTTTAAAATTTGTATCTGCCTTAAATTACCATAATCCTGATTCTGGCTTTTTTTTTTTCCTTCTTTATCATGAAGACTATTATAAAATTCAAAACCAAGAGAGAGCTTTTACCCAAGTTTAGATTTTATGGATTTCAGACAGAGCATTAGGAATGCAAATGCAGTTTTATTTAAAAATATTTAATATAAACACACAGATGGACAACATCTGCTAATTAGCTTCCTCTTTCATCTGTTACACCAACTGTGAGCTATATCATTTTACGATGAGTAAAGATGACAGTGGGAGAGTGAGAAAAAATTCTGGGATTGGAGATTAATGAATAATGACAATTTATCATACCAAGATAATGAAAAAATAGTTCAGGACATACATATCCTAATTTCTTCTGAGGTCAAGGATAAATTCTTCAACTACAAATATTTTCTGATGTCTACTTCATGTGTAGAATCAAACTACACACTACACATAGACATCAGTTAGTCCTTCGGTCCCACTGTGTGTTTAGGCACTATGGAGTCACCTAAAGGCAGAAGAAAGCATGTTCTCTGACCTTAAGTTTACAAGCTAGTGCGAAAAACATATGGCAAAAATTTAGGAAAATGAGTAAAAATCAGCAATGAAATGAATATCATTGATTAAATTCAAATACATAAAGTAAAATGCAAATAGGGCGAAATGATAAAAATAAGGAGTGGGGCATAATGATTAAAACTGGTTTGGGATAATTAGTAAAAGGTTTTTGGAAGATACTACTTTTTATGGGGGTCAGTAAGAAAACAGTTTTTATTTTATTTTATATCCTCACCCGAGGATATTTTTCCATTTTTTGTACAGATAGAGTGGGAGGGAGAGAGAGGAAGGGAGAGAGAGTGAGAAACATCGATGTGAAGGGACACATCGAGTGGCTGCCACCTGCACGACCAACCAGGGCTGGGGACAAACTGCAACTGAAGTACGTGCCCTTAGCGGGAACCGAACCCGGGTCTCTCCGGACCGCAGGCCGACGCTCTAACCGCTGAGCCAAACTGGTCAGGGCAGAAAACAGTTTTTAAAAGTACAGTAAAAATTAAAGTTTATTCTTAGAAGAATCAGTAACATCAACTCTTAAGGATTAAGAAAGTCAACTGTAATAGCCACTAAAAAGTCTGTGACCAAGAGTGGGAAAAATCTCTTTTTATTAAACACATGCTTGTTAAAGTAGAAAGAGTATTTTTGGTTAACCGATAGAAAATCAGAGATCTGTGCTGATAAATGGTCAGGAAAAAAATCTATTATGTTGATTTGAAAACTAATACTTTGCATTTTGAGCAGAAAAGGGAAGTAGGCAGTTCATAAAGATGACAAGAATCAATTAAATTCAGATCAAATTCTCCTTGATAATTAGAAATTTCTACTTTTAGAACATTAGGTGAGCACCAGGAAACTAGCATATGTTTCATTCATAAATGGGAAGATGTAAGGCACTGGGCTTTGCCCAAATAATCACTGTACTGTTAAGTCTATCTTGATAATTCCTGCTAAATGTGCCAGTTTTACAAAAATCCAATTTGCTATCTCAGTGCTTATTCCCCTTCTGTTCATGCTTTAATGTGAAGAGGCAGCTTCACAAATTGGCAGCAGCAGGAATAGGCAATTCAAATCCAGAATACCATCTATGACAGAGCCCAGGAAGCCCAGTATGACTAGAGCAGGGCAGGCTTCTATGATGGCAATTTTCCAGAATGGGGAACCCTTTTCTTAATTATGGGAATTTCCCAGCTCTTTAGGTCTTGGAAGGCTAGAAGGTTCAAGTCAACGGTTTGGGAGCTATATTACCAAGGTGGAAATATAAACAACTCAATAGTTAAAATTAGTTTTAGTAATAATATAAATTCAATTGATGCTAAACTTTATTTAAAAATATTTCCCCAATCCTGGCCGCGGGGCTCAGTTGGTTGGAACATCGTCTCACACACCAAAATGTTGTGGGTTTAATTCCTGGTCAGGGCACATAGCTAGGTTGTGGGTTCAATCTCTGGTTGGCATGTATGGGAGGCAACTGATAGATGTGTCTCTCTCACATCAATGTTTCTATTTCTCTCTCAATTCCTCTCTCTCTAAAAAATCAATTAAAAATATTAAAAGTAAATAAACAAATCAAAGCTTCTGAATTCCATTTG